CTTTCCACCATGATAGCGCCGGCATGTTCTGCACAAGGCAGCATCAACTGGAGACGACAAGGCGGAAGGCATGACAGTGAGTGGTCGACACCGCTGTGAACTGGGGGTTCGACTGGAGGCTGGGCGCCGTCATGCGGGGTGACGTTGCTTCCTTGATCCACTCACCGTTGGGCACTCAGTCCCGCCGCACCCGCCTAACGAGGAACTGAAGTGGACCAAGAATGTGATCAGCCACGCGTGGCAGCCTTGCAGGGCTTCTGCACAGCCACAGCTCACGGCAGGCTCCGCCGAACAGTTAATCGATCCGTCAGTTCTCGCAACGAACGAACCGAAAGTACTACCTCTAGCTCTCCAACACCACGGTTGCACTGGCTATGATTTCTACGTAACACCTTATGACCATGTCCTTTGGCAAGTGTCACCAAGTCATGTTCAAATTGCACTCTCTTCATGTTTACCCACGCGTTCATGCTGCTATGAATAGGCAAAAGTCTCGATTGAGACATGCGTTGTGCTTGGGTACTATCCGTCAGTCGTCAAACATCCCTCCTCCTCCTCCTTCTTCTTCTTCTTGACTGTTGTCAAGCTCAAGTTTCTCAGTGTTCAACATTTTGTCTTGTTTCTGCTCGCTCCATAGTTACAGTCAAGCAGTCAAATCCACTACATCTTTTTCGACTCATGCTCTCCGGGTGGTCATGTCATCTTCCCTTGAATCAACTCTCGATGCCCGAGACCTGGCCGGTGAACAGGGACAGTTGCTTGACCTGCTCGAGAAACTGCAATACGCCCAACTCGACAATGTCAAATTACCTCAGATAGTGGTCGTCGGCGACCAGTCGGCTGGCAAAAGCTCTGTCCTCGAAGCTCTCACTGGAATCCCGTTCCCCCGCGAAGCTGGCGCTTGTACGAGATTTGCTACCGAAATCAGATTGCGCAGATCCCCCCAGTCCAGCATCACTGTCTCCATCATTCCCGACAGAAATCGCCCTTCTAGCGAGCAACAACAACTGCTAGAGTTTGGTCGTCTGGTCAACAGTAGCTCTCCATTTGATCTTACGGTGATGGGAGCCGCAGAAATCATTGCTCCCAAGGGTGTTCCAGGACGGTTTGCTGCACGGGACATTCTGGTGGTGGAGAAGAAAGGACCGGATATGCCACTGTTGACTCTTGTGGATTTACCTGGTTTGGTACGGAATCCCAACAAGGACCAGTCCCTTGAAGACATTCGTATCATTGAAGCGCTTTCCGATCGCTACATGCGGAGTCCTCGTACCATCATTCTTGCCGTCGTTGGCGGGAACTCCGATTACGTCCAGGCTCCCATTCTGACCAAGGCTCGACATTTCGACCCTAACGGTACCCGCACTATCGGCGTTCTCACCAAGCCTGATCTTACTGACTCCATTGGTCTTGAAGACAAGTTCATCGAGCTCGTCAAGAATAACGACCGGCGTAACCATTTTCGTTTGGGCTGGTACGTCCTTTTGAACCCTGGCCCGCGAACGGAAGGAGAAACCTGGCCTTCTGCGGAGCAACGCCGGTCGACTGAGCGGGATTTCTTTTCCAAAGGCAAATGGAGCTCGCTTCCGGCGTCCATGTGCGGAGCCAGCGCTCTGAAGCAAAGGTTAAGTCTCCAGCTTCAGCAGCACATTGGGAGACATGTCAACGCGTTACGCAGACAAATTCAGAAGGCCTTGGATGATTGTGATGCCGAACTCAAGTCGCTTGGCACCGCCAAAAACACACCCGATGAAATGCGCTTAGAGCTCATTGAACTGTTTTATTTTTCCAATGAGCTCGTTGTCCCCGCAGCCCACGGCTTCTATAAAAACCCACCCAAGAAGAATTTTTTTCGTGTAACTGCAGACCCAAAGGGAACGCCGGCACAAAACCTCCGGGCACGTGCCGCCGAGGAAAACGATCGGTTTTCGACCAGAATCCGAGCTGACGGCCGCAAGTTCAAGCTCTCTGCTTCCAGTGATCCCTCTCCTGCCGATAAACAATCGGCATCGAGCTACTCCAAGTCTGAATATGCTCGTCTGGAGGTCAGCCGACTTCTTCATCAAATTCGAGGATCGGAATTTCCCATGGATTCCACGCCTAGAGCGGTTTACATGCTATTCCAAAGCCATTCGGAGCCTTGGCCTAGACTAGCACAAGAGCACAAGGATAACGTTGGAGCGGTCTGCAACGATTTTCTCCGCGAGGTCATCAATTACATCTGGCCCCAGCGCATGCGAGAACCTTTGCGCCGTCACTTCCTCGACTCTCATATGAAGGCGCTGATGGACGAAGCAGACCGAGAACTGGAACATCTAATACAAGACCTGAACCTCGAGGTTCAGCCTTACGATCTTGAATATCAAGAGCGTCTGGTGGCCTGGAAAAACAAGGCTGCTGAAACTGGAGCGACTTACACAGAGGCCGAGGAGATATTGGAGAAAATGCTGATTTTCTATGAGCTGTCTGCGAAAACATTCACTCGAAACGTTATCACGCAAGTAGTTGAGCGCCATCTTCTGCAAGGCATGTATGGCATCTTCAATCCTGCTGAAGTCATGGCGATGACTAGTGAGGTGGTTCAATCCATTGCTGCCGAGAATCAGGAGACACGGGACCAACGACAAGCCTTGACGGCACAGCGGAAGGCCATTGAAGAGGCGAAAGATGCCTGTACCGGTTTGGCAATGCGCAAGGAACTCAGAGAGGTATAATTGACCCGGACTCCTTGGAACGCAGTAGCAGCAGCCTGACAATCCTCTTAGCAACCAGACGAACATGGTGATCTCACCGATGGCACATCTGACGAAGACGAACCGCAATCGGCTGCAAATCCAATCTCTAGGTCATCCAGCACACCTCGGCGAAGACCACTACCTGCGAGTACCCCTAATGTAGCCGGGGATACGCGCAGCAATGCAGTTGTAGAGGCCACGGCCCGGGGCCCGCCCCAGTTGCCGCCTCCGGTACCACCGCGACAACTGCAAATTGCAGAAAGCGATTACGGACAGTTAGATGCGTTGTACGATAGTGGGAGGAAGTCACAAACAAACCAGAAGACTGATCAAGACAAGAATGGAGTCAGCCCTCCCTCTCTCCCGGATCATCCATTGAAGAGACACACTTCTTCGTTCCGGAATATCTTCAAGTGATGGGGTATGCGTGGCGGTGCCCGGCTTTACACCATTTTTGGTTCTTAGTTGAGTTATTATTTGTAGTGAACTCTGTTATCTCCCATTTGTATCTGGTAGATTGGGTGGTAGAACAAAGGCTGGACAACGCTGGACCTGAGGAGGCTTGAGCTCTTGGCTCCTTTTGTCTTCACTGACAACCGCCAAATCAGAGCCGTTATTCCAAACTGAACGCTGTTCTCACAAATGATCGACTATGATCCTTTCCTCTCGAATTCTAGAGGTAGGCAAGTATATACCGCGACCGCGAGCTGCCCAGTCTTTCAAGATTTCAAACTGAACCGTCTGCTCATTCCCAACTGTCGGCGCTCCTTCGCTCATGATTTCCCGGCCTCGTGCTATGATTGGACAACCTTGGGAAAGAAGTACGGTAATTGGTCAATCGCGTGTAAGTGGGTGGACCCAGCTCGCACTGCACCTTTACCCGCTGCTTTTGGTGCAAGCCCTGCCTCGATCCCTTCACTCACACCTCCCACTTGAATGCGAAGCCGCGTTCACCTTTTATAATGTCTCTGAGCTTAACACTGGCACTGATTTTCAATTTCCCCAGAGTTCTTAGGAAAGCTCAGTGACTTGGAGGTGTGCATCAGGGTACCGGTAATTGATGCATGGCCGGATACCGGCCTCGCATATCGGCAGCCACGCCCCTCGAATTCTTGAGATCTGTCCGATTTAAACCTATGTGTTCCTTATTTCTGTGACGCATCTTGTTGTCACTTTTCGAGGTTCTCCTGGCAGTTTTTTCGAGGAGATTGTAGTAGGTAAGATTGGCCATCAGTTTCTACAGTAGAAGTGGCCTAACCTGTTACTTGACATGCAGTTTTACGTCTGGTCTTAATATCGGGTCTACACCTGGCGACTGAAGCAACTAGTTCCTTTCTTGAGTTAAATGCTGGGTCGGGAGTATCGGCAGTAGGCAGTTGGAATCAAGGTACCTAACCTCCCCGATCTTTGACATGGCAAAGGGATGCGGAGGGGCGTCTGTACCTTGATGAGTAAGAGTCACCCTGCAGGCCGAAAGCGCTTTTCATTATACTGTTGCGGTATTTGATTTTCTTCTTTTTGACATGTCCGTAGTAGGTCCGATCAAGTGTATGGATAGGTTAAATGTGTGAAACCTGGTGCCTTCTACTGCAATGTAGCTCGGACTACGGTAGGAATTACGTGCCGCGTCGGACTTTCTCTTATAAATTCGGCATAAGGCTCCACATACAGCATGTCGCAGCACATGTGCCTATTTACTTGGTAACGGTTGTACAATACTCACCTCCATAGCTTCCTTTGGCTACCTTATATTTTAATGTATATGGAAGGGTCAAATTCCTTCCCCTTTGTTCCACCAGCACTGAGGTACTATCATGTGCCGGGCAAGAGGATAGGTAGGTAATTTAGTACAGCCCGTGCTTGCGGACTACGAGGGCTTTTACAAGACCGGGAGGTAGGTTGTTGCAAGCTACAGCTGCATACATGTGCATACGCCTCTTGTAGCTTCCATTTATATGTAAAGTACCTTAGCCGTTGCTAAAGAAGTAGCTGGTTGTAGGTACGTTCACTGTACATCTATTTGTTTCTTTCCGTAATTTCCAGGTGGCAAGTTTCTTCCTATTCTCAATATAAAACGTGCGTATCCCTCCCTCCAAGTCCTTGAATCCTCTTCTTTTCTTTTTTCTTCAGCTTATCAGCTCTGACTCAAGCTTTGTTCGACTGCCACTCTACTCACTTTGTAACTACAAGCTCTTCACCTTCCTTTCAGATCTCTTTGAATTAAATACCTCTCTATTCTCTCTTCACTTTCAGTGTCTCCTCAAAATGAAGTCAGCAGGAAACCGCCGTCGTTTATTTACCTCGTCGGAGACTATTGCCAACCCTATTTCTCTTTCTTTAGATGCGGACTTGGAGTCTAGCCTGCATCTGCTCTCGATCCTCGAGGCTTCGACTATCCGTAAGCAAACCTCTTCTCACATGCTTGTAGGGCTCTTGGAGGTCTAATCACATTGTAAATCCTTTAGCCTCCTCCCCTACGTCGCCTCCCAAGGACAAAACCCCTCCGCGCCAAGAGGCCGATGCCTCTATCAATCATCAGCTTCACCACGCCCTGTCCCTCCACAGCCAGGTATCGACCTCCTCCTCCGCTGCCGAGAGGGAGCACAGGGCCCAGGCCAATGAGGCCCATTCCTTTCGAAAGATTGGTGCCGGCGCCTGCGGTGCCATCTTCGCCCAAGAGGGTAAATCAGTCGTTGTCAAGCTTGCCAAGGACCCCAACAGCCAGGAGCTATGGAATGATTTCCAGCAACACCGAAAGATCTCACGCCTTTTCAACAGGGTGTACCATGTCGAAGAAGTCCGGGTGCCAAAGTTGCTTGGATTTGTGCCGCCCAAGAACTCGGAGTTTTGGGATGCGGAACCCGGCCTTACCAAAGCAGCAGAGAACATCTGCACCGTTCCAACCTACGCCCTCCTTGCCGAAAGAATTCTCCCCCTCCCCCGCAGCACCCGCCATCTCCTCATCGAGAAGTACTGCGCTCCCCGAGGCAAGCAGAAGGCCCTGGCCGATCCAGCCAACAACGACTGCTTGGTGCGGGTCTACCTCGGCTCGACAAACGGCAAGAGCAGCGGCATGTTCTTCTCCCTTCGGAACCTCAAACTCCATCTCAACCAGCTCATCGAGCTTAATCTCGACATCGAGGCACTTGCCTCCAGAATGGGCATTGCCCTTGCCGTGATGCACTGGGGGGCGAATACTGACGCCCGCGACGTCGAGTTTGTGTTGGGCAGCAGCTCAACCAAGAAAGCCACCCTCGAAGATGACCTCGATAACATCGAGGACGATGCCGAGGCGCGGTACGTCGGTCCCTCTACCTACCGCGGCCTCGAAGACTTCTTCTGTCGGGAGACAGAGATGTGGGTCCTGGATTTCAACCAGGTGAGGAACATCACCCTCGATGATGCCGGGGTTGCTTTGGCCGTGGAAGCGGTCAAACTCAATGACCCGTACTTCCCCAAGCCGCTCAAGGAATCCGAGGTGGAGAAGCATGCCTGGAAGGCGTTCACGGTCAGTTACCTCGAAAATTCGACAACCATTCTGGAAGAGGCCCTCAAGAACGATACGGAGTTGGGCGGCGAGATCCTGGCGTTGCCTAGGAAGTTTGTACTTGGCCTTATTGAGTTGGAGAAGGAGCGGATGACCCGCCGTGAAGGCGCCAATGCGTGAATCTGAGGGGTTTTTAGGTGGACCAGAGGCATTATGTTCATTTTCGGAGGCCTGGTTTTTGTTTGCGGAGGCATGAAGTTAATTTACAATGGAATACATCTTGATTGGGACTGGAGGCATGATGGACGATCGAACGGCATCCTCCTTGTCGTAATAGATGCATGCGTGCCCGTAAATTGCAGCGTGAAAAGCAAGGTCCTACCTACTATTGTAGTATAATACGATTTGTAGAGGTAAGATGCCGGGTTGTCTTTCGTGGACAACATGAATAAGCACAAACGATGTTCCTCTGCCAAGGAAGCTACGCTGCACTGGTTATAGGAGTAAAATTGCGATTGCCTCATATTCTATGATAGCAACTTTATAGACCTAGGTCGGGTCTGATGTTTGAAAATTCTCGATGTCTTGGAAGAAGGTTAGTTCCTCCTCCCCCTAACTCTTTACATTGCTATTATCAACAGAAACAACTACAATAGCCATTTCCCACAAAAGCAACCAAACGGCTTAAGAAGTAGTTCATTCTCATTCTTAGGTAGGTAGGTAGTGGTAACCCTTGTTGGCTTCCTATTCGTAGGACACCAGTCTTGAAAGCTATGCCGACTTTTGGAGATCAGATGTTCGCCTTCACCCTAGTGAAGAAACCTTGTAAGGAAACAGACTCAACTGACCGTTGTCTTCTTCTTATCCTGGTCATGGACACACCCCCTTCCCAGCCGGGAGCCCCGGATCTATACCTAACAGTACACTATCCTTTTCGGAACGGTTTCAGGCTATCTAAAGGTCTTCCCTTGTAAATCGGTCATACTCGCGGCGTATAAACTTCCTTGGTAGGTAGCTCCAGGCATTCTTGACACATAGCAAATGTTTTCCGACACCCTAATAGGCTTTTAAAGTCATCTACAACCGCTCCTCCTTGAGATTGGAAAGTATTTTGGACGTTGTGCGAGGCTCTTAGCAATGTTATCAGATCTATCCCCAGCTTTCCTTGATATGCCTGTTGACTTCAAATGATCTGACACTCCTCTCATCCCATGTCGCATTTGTCACATCACGTAGGTAGCTGCATTAGACTCGTATCTCATTGTAATAGTCACAAGGTTACAATATTTTACAGAGTACGTAGACTACCTACTACTTTAAGCCTGCTATGGCCTCCTTTCCCTGGGCCAAGCAACCAAAGGATGACTCAATGGTATATCCCATTCACCATCTTTCTCCATGTTCTTCATCCCGTACCTTTCATTAGAGGTAAGTTGGTATCAACGAAAAGTGAAATAAGACGCCAATGACCGACCACAAGTAAAGGCAAAGCCAAAACGCCTGCAACGTGGACGAGCCACGGAAAGAAAAGCCGACACACATTAGACCAGACCGAATTTTTCCCATCATTATACGACACAGACCATGAGACCGAATTCCGAAACCAGATACACACCGAGGAGAAATAAAGAAAAAGTAAAAAAAAAACCAAGAAAAAAAGCAAGAAAAACATAAAAAGTAGGTCGAAGACACAATCATAACGAGCCATCCCTAATGACTCGCACGGTGCCCAACCGATTGGGATCCATCGGCCCCTTCTTGCCGCTCTTCTTCTTGCCACCACTAGCACCGCCACTACAATGGCTCCTCGTCTCCAGAAAATCATCATCCTTCATCGCCGTGGAACGAACACCATAGCCGTTGTACGACCCTCCATTCCCGTTTCTCCACGCTTTATACCCCTGTGTAGTAGGTTTTTTCCCACCAGCACTGGTAGCAGCAGCAGCAGCAGCAGTAGTAGTAGAAAACGGAGGAGGAGGAGAAGGACGAGGCAACCCATCACTCCCCAGCCGAACCCCTCTCTGTCCATGTCCACCACCACCACCACCACCACCCATCATCATCATGTTGACAACTGCAGTACGTGCCTCGCTAGTAGTAGTCGTCGTTCCTCTTCCTCTTCTTCCTCTTCGTCTCCTCCTCTCCCACCACCTCCCCAAGGAACTCCGTTTCCACAACCCGTCCACCTCCTCCCTCAACACGACCCACGTCGTCGCCGCAAAAATCACCGCGTTCCACACCCCCTGCAGCGGCAACACCACCGCGCTCGCCAGATTGAGCGGGTAACTGGTATCTTTGGGGTAAAGCAACGAGTGCACCCGGTTGATGCTGGACGGCGTCCAGGTGACCAGGATGGAAATGGCAAAGACGAAGGAAGTCCGCAGGTAGGCAAGCTTGATGGGGTCGAGGCGGTGGAGCTTGGCCCAGAATTTGCGAAAGGGACGGCGGAGGGAGGAGAGGAGAGTGTGGAAGCGGGTTTGGTGGGTGAAGCGTGAGGCGGATTGGTGCCCGCAGGAGGAGGAGGCGTGGACGTGGTGCGTGCCCGTGGTGGTGGTGTTCGAGGTGCGGTTGTAGGAGGAGTACGTGTGGCCGTAGCCCGGGCCGTGGCGGTAGGGGCGGTCCCCTTGGGAGATGTATGTGGTGGTTTTTTTGAGGCTGGATTTTGGGACCCCGTTGTGAGTGGTCTCGTTGGTTGCGTGGTGGACGTGGACACGGAAGGGTGGGGAGCTAGAGCCGGTGTAGGCGGCGGCGGGAGGGACGATGTGGTCCTCGCTGGAAGAGGAAGACGAGGAGTAGTTGGAGTCCCAAGGGTGGATGCTGTTGTTCTGGCCCGGGGCGTGGGTGGCAAGGGGGACCTCGGTAATGGACGGGGCCGGTGAGGTCGGGGTCATCGGTTGGAAGTCGGTGTTGTCGGAGATGTTGACTTCGACTTGAGTCGTGACGGTGCCATAGCAGCCTGGATGATTGGAGAGATCCTGTGTGCGTGCGGCAAGGAAGTGTCAGCAAGGGGTAGACATAAATTGTGCATGCTTGGGAAGTGGTACGGCAGTAGTGCCATAGCGTGGTGTTACATGAAAAGGAGGATGAAGGAAGCAAAAGAGCCAAGTGGAAAGCCAATGCTGTAAAGGTAGGTAGTAGTAAAGTGCAACTGACCATGGGAATAACAGTAGGGCATGGCGAATCCCGGCCAGCGCTGATACCGTAGCTGTGCTTCTCGCCTAGTTCTATGTGTTCAGATCCAGAGTAGTTTTTCCCTTGGTTGCTGAACGTCAAATTCCGTAGCTGATTGCGCTGATGAAACACTTGATAGCCCACGGCGAGGTATACCAGCCCGGAGAGAAAGATGCACGTCCAGATAGGTAGATAGTAGGTGTAAATCCGCAGAGGATTCCATGTGTCGGCTATCCAGCACCATAACTGCGAAGAGAGTCAGCATCTCGTGGGCAAACTGCCTTCACAAGGGTTGGGATCCATACCGTGGCATTTCCATAGTAGCGAGTGGTAGCAGGACTGTGAGCAAGGAGGACGATTGCCGGAACCGAAGGAAGTCCATAGCACACCAGGCAATACAACCAGAGGTAGTCGCGAAAAGCGTTGGGGTTTAGGGCGAAGAAGAAAACCAGAAAGACATTTATTGCCATGGCAAGTGACCACCACGGGTCTGATTGCATGAACCTGGGGAGAAGTGTGTTAACGTGTTGTCCATCTCAGATAAATCTCACCACAAGTTCACTTACATTTCAAGAAGAAACGCCTGCGTGTGGCAGAGCGCCGAGTTCTCGCCGGCCACGATACCCGCATAGCCGATAAAGCATGCCGTGCTAGCCCCAACATTGGCGATAGACGCAAAGAGGATGAAAGTGTTGGGTACTGTCCGAACTCGCTTGAAGAGGCCATAGGCGATGAATATCAGGAACACCCCAAGCAAGCTAAGAGAGGCGCCAATCCTCTCGACATGCTCGATGGTGTTCCGCTGTGTCTGTGTGAGATTCATGTAGCCTTGACTGTATTCCACAGGCGGTTGTTCGACCTGAGCCTGGGTGGTGCCGGTGAACTCGTCCATGGTGAAGGAGGGGAGGCGAAAATATCTTAAGTGGATTGAGGAACAGGGATAGATTAATTGGCCAAGCCTTGTCTTTGGCTTCAGACCTGTGTTTGGGCTGAGAGACGGCGTAGCAATCTTCACAACCCAGGCTCGGAAACCCAATTTGGAATGTGTTGGACCGCACGTGGCTTGACCTCTGAAAGCAAGACTGCTGCAAGTGCAGAAAGCGGCAGAGCAAGCAGGAATGCCCAAGATCCCGCGGGGTTGGGGACTGTGTGGTGGGTAGCTGGGTGTCGCGTGTGGGCTTGAGTCTCTTGCGGCTGTAGAAGCAGGCTGGCTTCATCGAACCAGTAGAATCCGGAGCGAGCCCACCCACCCAACGGTCACTCCCCGCGTTCAGAAACGAATAAGCAAAGAATTAGAAGGCTTAGAAACGTCCCCCGCCTATCTCCACACACTAATGGCGAGCCACTGCCGGTACGATTCGAGAGGCCGATCGGTCGGGAAGCCGGCCGCGGAAACGTTAGTGAAATCAGGCTGAGGCGAGTATCAGATGCAAGCCGTCTATTGCGAAGATGTTTGCTCCCGCACAACTCGCATCAAGTATTGGGCCTCCTGGCGGCGTCTCTATTTCCAGGACGATGGATGGTCGGCAGATCTGTTGACCCTTGGAGGGGTTTAGTAAGTGAGGCGCGTTATGAACGGTGTGAATTGGTCATGGGTTGACAGTGGACAAAAAGAGAAGGGGAGGTTTCGAGAACAGAAACCTTGGATGATGGTTTGTCTGGGGAAAATGCGGGATGAAAGACAGCTGAACGGCAGCCACAAAACACGCGCTTAGTCGATTACACGAATGGACTGGATTTCCTCTGACGAAACTCGACGGCAACTGTCCTTGGGTCCTGATTTGGTGTGAGATGGCGGTCTTGGTTTTTGGCAGCGATTCGACGCGGTACTGGAAATTTGTCAACCCTCCAACAAGTGGGACTTTGGTCCTTATATTTCCCCGCAACTGCTTTCGCTGCGAATGCGCAAAGAAATTGAGTAAGAATGCTCAGCAAACTATGGAAGTCCCGCTGTATAGCATGAATCAGTTTAGTTGCGCTTCCGCGCTCCGGGGGTGCTGTCGGGTGCTGAAGAGTTCCTGATGTTTGTCTGAGTATTGTATAGAGGTAGGTAGGTAAGTGTGCGGTACTCCTCCCAGCATACGGCGAGGCACGAACCCGTCTCTCTCGTCCCTAACTCCCTAACACGAGGGAAGTAGCATGGGCCTTGCAGAGAGCAACCAGTATCCAGCAGGAGATTTAGTGTTGTATGATGCAAGCCACCGGCCTAGTCGGAAAGCAAACTTGCCTTCCGTCTTTGTGTGAGGGTCGGGTGCAAAACAAATGTCCCGCTGGAGCTCTAACTGTTTGACACGCATTTCATGGAAAGAGGGCCATCCAACATCACCATGTTAACACTAGAAGCATCCTAGAAAGCATATTGTAAAGTTGAAGGGCACTCCTCAAATCGCCAGTTCGATGCCAGCGCGACTTGTCCAACGCCAATAAGAGACAGCAGATGTCCTCTGGCAAGCTGTCGTGATGTGCACGGGGGAAACACTCGATAAGCGAGACGAGCTTACGATCCGGTTTCTTCATATCGCTCTGCTTTCCTGGCCCTGAGCTGGTGTGCTGTGTCCCAGTCCGTCTAGTCAGGGAGATAGACTCGAACCAGATTACTTGTGTGACCTCGCTATGGGTATGCGCCGGGTTCATTGGTCGAAGCGGAACTCGTCGAGGTTCACAACATATGGAACCCATCAGCTGCAATATGTTTCCCAGACGAGACGGTTTTAGTGCTCCCAGTGTAGGAGTAAAACATGATACGGACGATGATGCGAATCGAAGACAATGTTGGCCGGCAGTCATTGTTGAGAACAACGAAACGTCTTCCACCTAGAGATGCAGGCTGAATCGGACACTGGTCAGAAAGCGGTTGCCGGTCTCGATCTTGATAGTCTTGGTGGTTGGACGTTCGTTAGTACATTTTGTAAACATGGTGTCGAACAGGGGTCTGGCCATATGCGTAGGGCCATTGTAGGCACGGGATGCTTGTTTGCCCTCTGCAGAGGGATTGACAGCATCGCTGTGCCCCGTTGGTGTGAGGTCAGTGAGGATGTATGCAGTTTAGTTCCAGACAAGGTTTGCCAAATAGTCCACGTCGTAAGAGCAGCAACCAACCACTTAAGGTTATCCCAAACTCCATGGGTAGAGGTAGGGTTGGAGAATTTTATAAAAAGGAACGGTGAGAGCTCCAAAGCCGATAAACCGCAGAAAAGAAGCAAAACCAGATCTCCACGATTACTGGGTAGGTGGCGCTTGACGGTTTTCTTGGCTGTCAAATCACAGGAGCCTTCAAGGACGAGAATGATCGCCAATTCCCAATCCAATCTCTCCATGCAAAAATACGATGGCACCGTACCGTCCCGTCTCCTCCCCGGGCATGTTACAGATTTTTTTTTTCTTCGTTTTCGACATCAATGGCACCCCTGAGCCGGACCACGACCAATAGCCCAGGAACTTCCGTTACCAGGAGCTGCGAGGGAGTCATTCGTGAGGTTGTAGGGGACATGAAAGTCAAACATACCACTTCGAAACAACGACCAACTGGAAGAGCAAGAAGTATAGATATGCCCCTTCTCCCTCACGCTGCGACAAAGGGATTTCCTTGGCTTGAGTGGCCAGAATGGTATGTATGACTTTCCGGGACCTTTGTTTCGACGGGTAGATGCGTGCTCTGTATGCGACAACGGCCGCCTCATCCCGGCCGTGATTGGTGATTGAACCAAAAGGTACGACACAACGTGCAGATCCAATCTGATATAACCCCATTGTCTGCTGGACTTACGGTCACAGAAGTAACCTGCCGGCTTGGCGGTGCAGACAATGAGCACAGAGTTCCAGCCATGATAATAGGAACATGAGGCAGATCAGGTAGGTTGCCGATGAGGCGACAGTAGGCGCGAGCGACGGTCTCCCTCCCAGACAGACCTTTTGGGATTGTAAGGAATTAGTGATCTATCGAAGCTTTGTGTAAGCGGAATAAAATCAGAGCCCCTCATTGCAGTGTACATTATTGTGCGGTAACACCAGGCCACAAACACCAAGGGCAATGAGCATCTTCACCTACCAACCTACCTCCCACCAACAGGTCATACCTCTAGGTAACAGTGACCTGATATCGCGGCTCCGTGGTTGTGAACACACTAGGCATTCTGCTGTGCTCCGTGAGAGCGTTGGTTCCCTGGCCACTCGCCGATCCATGCGGTTTTTGGAGGGGACTGACTTATTCGTACCTCATCGTTAGACAGCCAGGGGCCTGATGTCCATGCTTTGTAGTGACATGATGCTGTAACATCGAGATCCGCTCGTAGCTGTACCTGCATTAGTTACCTGGCCCGCGTTGAGTGGTGAGAATCGTAATAGTGTCTTAGACGCCAAAAGGTAGGACTCACATTGTTCTGCCTCATAACCACTCATGTGCCCTCCGTCAGCTTATAGTCGTTTGGTGTCTGTGGTCTGTGGTATCCTTTCACGTTGATATGTTTGTTCAAAAAGAGCCGTTATGTGTTTAGCAATTTGGCTTCATTGGCCAAACATCTGATTGCGCTCGGGAAGACAGCTACGGGAAAGCAAACATCAACTGCACGCCTGTCCTGGGTGGCTCGTTGCAGCCTTCTAGACGACGAATGGCCTGAAAGCCACCGCATTTATCGCATCTCTTAAAATTCCATCGCCACTGAGCAGGTTGCTGGGTGGAAGGTGATATTGGTTGTGGCACTATCACAACTCTCGGCACTTCCATCCACCTACCTGTATGTATGCGCATGTGGGTACATGGACTACATGTCAACCCAAACCTTCTTGCTGTTTTCTTGACACTCGAGGCTAACTTGCACCAAGAATCTGTGATAGCATCATTTGTGGCTCGCTACTATGGGTCCCATTACCACGCTGCCCTTTGCTTCCCATGTGACAATCCCAATCGCCGATTCACCGTGTGTAGGTCCCCTCAATCACATAGTCTTTCTTCGGCCCCTTGACTCGGTAGGCTAGAGACCAATCTTTGAGGTTGACGGCCTTGAAGTTGAAGCGGTAGTCGACGTCGTAAAAGTCGTCGATGCATAGATGCCCAGCGTTTGCTCGCCATGCTTGGGGTGCATCCTCGGTCTCTGTGTTCGGAATGACGAACTCCACTTGGTGGAACAGATAATCCGCCTTCTTTTGATCGTCCGTCTTGACGAACCAGACGCTCAGCTTGTCTTTCTTTTCATCATACCTCCAAACATATCTCCTCGTAGCACGGAAAGAGAAGCCGTTAGAGGCAGTGAACATTCCTTCCTCAACGTAGAGATACTCCAACCCGATATCGTCATCTTTTTCCAAAGCAGCATCGTGCTCGGCTTCACGTCCGTCTCTTGTACGTTCCCTGAGCAGGAACCGGGCAGTACCACTGAAATGCCCGCTCGGGTGAGTGGGAAGACGACTCACAAGATCCCTCTCAAGCTTCCATTCCCCTAAAAGGGAACGGAAGACGGCTTTTGCAACAAACCTTGCCGAGGAAGCACCAGACCATGCTGTGCTCTCAGTCTGCTGAATGGACTTTGTGGCTTCTGTACGTTGTGCCTCACTTGCTCGTTTTGCGGGATAGCGTGCTGGTGTCAGGATGTTCATGCTCTGGTCAGCTGGTGGAACTCTGGGCATTTCCCCCAACGGTGGTATGCGGTCAATTTCTAGAGCCCTCGAAAACTCTTGCATGAGCCACGGGTAATCGCCCATGGGAAACTGAGAAACTCGAGGATCAGTTCGCAGAGCCAAAGTCCGCTCAATGGAATCATCTTCACCAAGAGCTGCAGCCATCCTGGGAGGAAGTGACGAAGAAGCAGGTCCTCCGGCCGCCCACAAAGCTGTGACAAAGCGGGCTTGCATCTCCATGACACCCCAATAAGGTGATCGGTAGAAACCCACAAACCCCAAGAAGGGAATTGCCGGATGATGGGTACCGTGGAAGGCCAAGGCAACAGTAGTGTTCAGGTCAGAGGGCACCACCGACAAGATCTCTTGAACAGAGGACGGCAGGAAAGAGATGGACGATGCTGCCTCGAAGCCAGTTGCGAGCACTACTGCCGCAACATTGTCGATTTTGCTTACCTCTCCCCGAGTTGTTGTGACGGTGACAGTATCGCCGGTCAGCGAGTCTAGTTTTCCACGTGACACCGAGATGAGCCCGCTGCGGACAAAGTCTGCATAAGTGTCACTAACGGCCAGATAAGGGGGCTGGTCCGTGTCGGTGTTTGTAATGGCCAGACTGGATGAGAAGTCAGATTGATCAGTCCCTAGCATTGTTTCAAAGATTGAGTGACGTGTCTTTGCCGCCTCTATCGAGACATGGCCTTGCATATTGGTCAGATTATCCGGTCTGTTGGCCAAATTATATGAACAGAGATCCATGGGCAAGAAGGGCGGTGCGGGCGACGCGGGCTAGCCAGAAGACACACAAGTCAGCGCAAAAGCACCAAGAGGAAACAGTCGGGGACATGGATGGAAGATGGGCACCTTTGGTGAGGTAAAGAGTGGAAAGACCCATACAGGCCTCTGGGAAATATGGTGAATCGAGTACTGGTCCAAGTGCTGAAGCGGGCTCGAGCCAGGCGCGTGCAATGCCGAGGAGAGGTGGGTTGCGATAGTACCGGCTATCTCGACACCCGACATTTGGCCTCCGACCACCACGATCTTGCGCCCGACACCTTTTGTCTGCTCGAGTAAGGCGCTGAGAGTCCGGTACTGACTGCTGTGGACCACCGGTATATCACCACTAGCGGCCACTGGTGGAGGTATGACCGGTTTGCCGAAGAAACCAGATGCGACCAGTAGGTAGTCGAACATATGGTCGAGCTGTTGACCATCTTGAGAGCATGTCCGGACCTTCCACTTGGCTCCCTCGACACTTTGGTCAGAGGGTTGAAGCAGTTCAGAGTGAACGACGCGCTTGCCAAGGTGGAGTTTGGCGTCCCGGCAGTATCGATCATGGTATGCCTCAAGATAGCGCCCAATGTGCCAAGCTCTGGGAAATTCGGGGGCGTCATCGGGCCATGCCAGGTCGCTGAACTGGACGGTATGTTTGCTCTGGTTAGCTACCATGAGCGGGTGAACCGAGCCGGCGTTGTCGTCCTTCCTCGACGGCCAAAGACCGCCCACACGGTTCTGCGCTTCGAAAATGGTGACATCGAAGGTCCCCTTGGGCTGGTCATGGAGGAGTGACTTGGCTGCAACTAAACCAGACGGGCCAGCACCTGTAGCAAGGAGTGGTTAGAAAGCCATGACTGCACAGAAATGATATGTGGCGGTATTGGGCGTTGAGGTAAGAGTGGATGAGTTGAAAAGTGGCATGTTTGATGTTGATGTTGGCGACACATGTGCAAGCGCGCGTAGTGTTGAAAGGGAAAAGAAACGAAGAAGAGAAGGCACAAGTAAACACTGATGGCTTGGAAGTGGAAGTGGATTGAAGGCAAACATGAACACACCAACAATGCAAACTTTCTTTGAAGCCGCCATGAAGCCACGTCTCCAACTGGACGGTCCGAGAGAGCCGAGGTTGGGGAATATGGGCCGGCGGCGTGCGGTGGCTCGGACCAGTATGTTGAGTGGTGACTCGGTGTGGTCAATCGCGATGTCGATAGTATGAGTGTACAGGGAGCAGCTTCAGGTGAGAAACTGAAGCAGGGGCAGCTCAACGTCCCAGAGCACTTCCTGAATTAGGGTTGTCGGGTGCTGGGGAGCGACAGAACAACTCGTCAAAATATGACAGAGAGTAACGGTGGCTAGTGCCTCGGGTGACATGCAGTGCCTCACCACTACGAGACGGGATGGCCAACTTCCACTTCAAGTTGTGCCGCTGTCCTTTCAATTCCTTTTTGGTGATGAGGTGTGGTTTGATGACCGAGTGTACTGAGCAGAGTCACAGTTGCCCGGCTGTGAGTGGAGTCACATTTCATCCGATATTCCCGATTGACAGCAGACCTCAGCTGGCAGAAGTGACAGTCAAATTGCAGGGACCAGGCTTTGGGCGATGTCCGGCAGCTGTCAGCTTCAAGATGGAATGAGGGGTGAGGGGTCAGACCAATTACCAATTGAAAGTCTCCTCAAGCGGGGAACCGAAAAGTTGGGGGAAGGTCAAGTTAAGCTTTAGGCGGGAATGGGGAAGGCGCAGATCTCCCCGCACCAAGCGACCCCACAGACCTGACTACACTAAATAACAGTGGAGTTCCGGGAGACGTCACAGACTTGCCGAGCGGCATCACGGGACCGCTTGAGAGAGAGAAAAGATTGAAGGAGCGAAACATGAGAGCATGAAATATTGCGATGTATGGTTCCTTTGGCAAAACCTGCCCGATACAACTTGTCACGCTTTGCCATCTCGCGCGCCATTTGCGTAAACAGCCAGCCAAATAAAGATAGAGACGTTTAGTGTGTTTTGTCTCCACGAATACTGGTGATCGCATAAGTAATTACCTACCTACCTTACTTTCCATACGCTCATTGAGGGCCAGGCATAAGCTGTCGGGAGTTCGGTACATTGCCTCCCGGATAATTTGTTACCTGTAAGTGCCTCGCACCCCCCAGACCTTTCATCCAAGTGACGAGATCTCTAACACTTCAACCCTGCGCTCTTTGCGTGCTCCTCAAGGCAGACGTCACCATCACACATCATCATATCCTATCTTGAGCTTCGAAATAGTTGTTCATTGTCGGCTTAGGTTTTAGAAGTCTCTTATATGAAGATAACGAGCTGTTGATGTGCAATCTAGAAAGGGTTTGTACCGTTGTATACCCGAAGGACAAGTAACGAGGGGAATCACGTTTTTTTACTGTTAGTGATCCGCTAATTGCCTCTGTTTCCCAGCGCACCGAGTTCCAACAACATGGTCCAGAGTCCGAACGCACACGGAAGCCTCCATTCAGTCGGGTCATGAAAACTGAAGTGGAGCACAGGACTCGGGGGCTCCATGCCGGTCACGGTCCGCGTGCCGTCTGGCAAACATCTGGATCTGCCACAGCTGCCTCTTGGGTACTTAGCGTTCCAAGAATCCAGGCCATCCATCCTCCAATTTTACCTTTTTGTAAAGACAAACATCACAACGATCCCACTGCATAATCCACGCTTCCAGCAAAGCACTTTGGATCCGGAATCACGCTCCCCGTCTAGCTTGAGTGCCCTGCGACACCAACAAGTCAACACAAACACCCATCACTACCATGCTCTTCAGCTGACCGCCCGACCCCGTCGGCTGCCTTGTCCACACACATGACAGTAGCCCAAGCCGGACCGATACCAAGAGACACCAGCCGCCCCCCCCCCCCCCCCACGGTGGAAATCCAGCCTGGACGCCTGGACGTCGAGTTCGGGGCCATTTACCGCCGCCACTGCGGAGCAGACGGCGCAGACGGTGCAGGTGTTTGATGACGCCAAGTCCAATATACCACCACCACCCCCACCATCAAAAGCCTCGAGGTACCCTGCCGCCATGGCAGCACGACATCCACCACATAGCGTATCCATACTCCAATCACAGTATACGCATCACCTGCCTATCTGGACGACAGCCGCTCAAGAAGGGATTCCCTGGATTGCCATGGATCCAACAGCAGCCAACCTCAAGCGCTAAATTGCGAGTCGCTTGGTTGTGTAGCCGGACACCCGACGCACTGCACCTTTCCAGAGACCTTCGACATGGCCCTCTTCGGGAGCTGGCAGATCTCGCTCGTCGTTTGGCACAATTCTCCTAATTGCTCCTGCAGCCATATCATTCCATCGCACAGTCCTCGAGTCGAGAGCCACAGGAAACAGCCATGGCTTCATCAACACTACCGATGTTGAGCTCCCAACCGCCATGGAAAAAGATTGTCCATGCCACATGGCCCTTGGCTACGGTACCTGACTGACCCGGTGTCCAAGTCCCAGTCCCTAGTCTGCCAGTCAACTACCAAGAAAATGGTGGCTTCATTATCGCCAGGGGAGGAAGCACAGAAGCAAGCTAGAAAACCGCTTCTCGTCTTGGCAGCTTCTCGCTTGTCCTGGCACACTGCGTACCGGCACCTGAAGAGCTAGTCCAGAGGCTGCTATGGCCCGACCCGATCGATAGCGCTATCATGGGGTTGATGTTGCCAAGCCAAGAGGAGACTTGACCGCCGAGAGTGCCCAGCTAAGTGCCCTCTAGCCTCCCAAAATACTACAGCCCATACCCTTGGTCACGGACACATACAAGTACCGGATTACAGCCCTACACACATTGGCCACCGTCTCTATATCTGTTCTTGTTATAAAAAAAATTAAAAAAAAAATAAAAAGCAAAAAGAGAAAAAGGCCACAGTTTGCCTCTGAACGAGACGGCCACGGTTCGCTTTGGAGGCAGGTTGGACAGACGCAATGAACGTGCCGGCCGCTTGCAGCAGCTTGGTGACACGGTTCAACTAGTGCAAGGAGCTGCAAATCCTTTGATGTTTTCCCAAAAACATCGTCAAGATTTTCGTAGCTAATTGCTTTTCTTCTTGCTGAGTACAGCCACAGATCTGGCGGAACGTCCTCAGCACGTGGATCGCAAGTAGTCCTACCAGACAGCGGCTGCTTGCTCATAGGCCGCTATTGCAGGCGAGACCTGCCAAACGATAACCCACAAATCATAACCATGACATACGCTGTCGCCCGAGCGGGTACACGCCTGAAAAGTTTCCCAAAGCATTCCAACAATGCCATGCTCGCCCACTTTGTTGGCCTTTCGGGCGACGGACTACAGCAGCTGGCCAGCAACGGTAAACCGAAAGGACCGCACCTTCACACAAAGCAAACTTGGTCCGCCCAAAAAGAAATCAAATTCCAAACACGGCGGCCCTGCTTGACTCGGTTCTCCTCGAACCAGGCATTGTCATCTGCCCCTTTTCGTGTGGCGCCCGCATGGGAGCAAACAAGCCATGCTTTTGTCCATGCCGCGCCGCGGACACACACAGAAACACCTGCCAAGCGTGAACTAAGAAATTGGTCTCAACAAATTGTCCACCAAGACAGTACACAGCACGTTCTCTCTTCGGAACCAATACTCGGGTTGCAACACACCTTGACCTAAGGACGGGATGGTGTGGTGCATCCATGCATTTCCTTTATCTAGCGCACCCATCAATTCAGCCTTCCCCGAATCAGCACTCTGCTAGTAACGACCAGAAACTCGGAACAACAGTTTGTGTCAAACCTCCCTCCTCTTGTCTGAAACATAACTGACCTTGGCGAATTCTGCGTGCGCAGTCGCCGAACATGCCGTCCTTCGGATCGTCAACAATGAATAATCTGGTACATGAGTCTCACTAAAGGCCGTAATGGGCAGAAGTTACTAGTTGCTGCTGTGTGCTTGAGGGGGGCTCCTAGGGTTGAGGATTTGGTGATACAAGGTCTGCTGAGACACCATGTCGCCCACAGATGATGGATGCCAGATTCCATTTATCTGGCATTCCTGGTCCATCAGGTACTCAACACAACTGTACGGCCCGGTAAGAAAGAGACCTTCCTTTACGCACCTTTACTCTCCGGCTGTCATGTTCCAAGGCCATGGGACAAGCAAAAGTGAGGTGAGACAGCACGGCACTCCCGCTTGGCGATTCAAACACGAGCACAGGTACTTCTTGCTCCCTCGTTTGCTAGCCTCTGACGAACTACGACGCAAGCATCACTGATGTCGATGTTCCAAGGGGGTTCTAGAAAGATGAAAGTGCACCTCCCTGTCTGGGTATCATTGTCCGACTCTCCAGTTGCCTTGAACACATTTTTGTCTTCGGACGAGAGAATCCTACGACATGTGGGCCACGGACATGAGCCAGCCAGGTAGAAGCCTGTCCAGAAACCGACCAACAAGGCAACTCTCTCGAGTCGTGTTATTGTTGAGGTTGCTGGAGCGGGGTATTGCCGGTGAATTAACAGTGACTGCAAGAGAACACACTGGAGTAGTTCGGTTGGACAAGTCTGGTGAGCTCTGTCATAACAAATGCTAGAAAGCGTTTTGGTAAGATGTGAGATTGAGGGGAATCATATCAACCAGGATCCCAACATGCTGGGACCGCAGGAGGAGCAAGCAGCAAGCCTGAGGCTTCTGGCATCGGGGAGCACGCTTCCAGGTGAATGTTTGCCCAACCCTGGTATCCGTGCTCACCGTCGTTGATATGCTTTCATGGCTGGCTACTATCATGTACCTCTACGAATACCGAGGATGAGGTGTGCCATCAGCAGGGGTGGAGGTGGTGTTGAGTGCATTGGTAATCTGCCGTCCATCTGTCCGTGGTGGCGTCCCAATTGGGCCCGTAGGCGCATATGCGGCGTGTCGGATATGCTACAAACTACTTATAAGCTGCCCCAGCTGGTTTAGCCTCCTCCCCTCCGCATTATCAACCCCACCTGCACCGTCCCCGTCCTCGGGACTATCCTATTTTGGGCACACGTTCCATTGTTCTCTGTCCCTCCCTCCACTTCATCCACATCCCCCTCCCCGGCCTGTACCGGTACAGCAAACACCAATAGTGCAACCGTTGCCCGGCTACAGTCAAATAGGGTCAACAATTGACGAAGGCTTCTTCGACACAGTGAAGGGTTCGGCGAGTTAGTCAGGTCACAGTGCCCAACTGCCAGACAGGAATGCCATAAACTTATCACATTGCGGCGAAATTTCCGGTTTGGGTCGCTTCGACGTTCGCCAATCTCCTCCTTTACTACGATCTACATCTCCGGGATCTCATCCCTTCCGCGTGGGTCAAAACCAAACAACGTGGATTCTGTTTCGTTCGCCCTCATCTGGGGAAAGCTCCAGAAACTCCACCTTTACCGGCTTTGACAATCCCCCTTTGACACCTCTAACGCAAAAGAAGGAAAGGACGTTGCGGCAGCTCGGCAGATCAGG